GCGTCCCGCAGGCGCCCTCGTCGCGCTGCACGAGCGGACGGGCGACGTCGACGCCGCGTCGACCGCGCTCGAGGCGGCCTGGCTCTCCGCCGAGGCGGGACTCGGCCACCCCCCACACGCCCGTTTCCCGAGCGCGGCGTCCCCGCTTCTGTAGGCGGCCCTCTCCGCCGAGGCCGCGCCGCTTGCGCTGCTGCGCTCCGGCGCCCAGTTTTACGCGCGGCACGGAAGGTGGGCGGAGGCGGCCGCGCTGCGACGTCGCCTCGTTGAGGCTTCGCCGCGACGCCGCCGCCGCCGCCGCCGCTTCCTTCGTGCGACTGATTGTCAAGAACGATCTCTGACGGGTAGGCGGCGCCGCGCGACGCCGCCGCGCTCGCCGCGCTGGTGGTTGCCGAGTCACATGTCGACGCAGAGGCGCCGCCGGGGAAGGGGGGCCAGAGAGCGTCCGAGAGCGGTCTGCCGGCGCACCTCCTCTGCCCACCTCCTCCGCCCACCGCGCCTCGCCTGCGCTCATCTCCAGCTCGTCTCCAGCTCGCGCCCACATCGTCTGCTGACATGCACATGCACATGCGCATGCACATGCACATGCACATGCACATGCGCATGCACATGCCATGCTCATGTGGGAGTGAGCCGCCACCTCCCCACACCTGTCCTCCTTGGGGGGCATGGGACGGCACCGTCGCCACCTCGATGCCCTCCTGGGAAAGCACCTTCGCGGTGCGGAGACGCGGAACGGGAGATATAGGGAGATATGGGGAGAAAGGGGAGACATGGGGAGACATGGGGAGAAAGGGGAGACATGGGGAGATATGGGGAGAGATGGGGAGATAGTCGTTTCTTGAGGCTCTCGCCCTCTCGCCTTTCCTCGTAGGCGGCGCACGACCGCCTCTCGCGCCTCGAGCTCATGTGCCGAGAGTAGCCGAGAGGAGGCTGAGCTCCGCCGAGAGCCGCGCCTCACCTCGCCTCGCCCCTCTGCCCGCCTCTCCTGGGCTGAAGCTGGGCTCTCGGCCCGCCGCACCCACGCGGTCAGTATTTCTTATTCGGCTCTCTCTCTCTCTCTCTCTCTCTCTCTCTCTCCTTGTCGGATTGGCGTGCCCCTAGACCCAATCCGGTAGACCGACTCATCGATCCTACTGCGGCAGGTGCCCGCCGCTCGAGGAAGAGGAGGGCGGGCCGATCGACGCAGAGGCGCTCGAGCAGGCGACGCTCCCGCGCGCCGCCAAGCGCGCCGCCGACGCCGCGCCCGCCGACTCCGGCAGGGCGGCGGCGGCGGGCGGCGAGGGCGGGTCGGGCGGCGGTGGCGAGGCGCGGGGCGGGCGGCTGCGGAAGAAGAGGCGGTCGAGGCGCTCCAAGCCGCGGTACCCCAAGGGGTTCGACCCCGAGACCCCGCAAAAGACGCCGCCGCCCGACCCGGAGCGCTGGCTGCCGAAGCGCGAGCGCTCAAACTACCGGCCGCGCAAGAAAGACAAGAACCGGATCGCGCGCGGGCCGCAGGGCTCCACCTCGGGCGCCGCGCGCGTCGACGACCGGGCGACGACCAACGTCAAGGAGCTGAGCGAGGAGGAGAAGGCGCGCAACCGCGCCAAGGCCGAGGCGGAGGCGCGCGCCGAGGCGGCGGCGGCGGCCGCGTCGGCCGCCTCGAGCAAGCGGTCCAACAAGAAGAAGGGCGGCAAGGGCAAGTGGTGAGCGCGAGGAGCGCGGGAGATTTCCGGCTGCGGGCCCCTGCGGCGGGGGTGGCTCGTGTGGCTGCGACGACGGCTTGTCTTGGAGAGTTGGGTCGCGGTCGGGGGTGCCCCGATCCGGGGGCGCGCGCGGAGAAATCTCCTACCGTGGTCTTCTTCTACAATGAAGCGGTTACCCGGAGTTTGTGTGCCACGCGCACAACGACATCCAAAATATCCTCACCGTTATATGCGCGTCATATCTTGTGGTGAACAGGCCGACTTCGCGGTTTGAGCGCCCAGCGCAGACCGACCGACCGCAGGCCGCAGAGGGGTTGTCCGGTCGGCGGCCGCGGAAGACCGCAGACCGGAGGGGGGGTCCGGTCGGTCGGAGCGCAGTGGAGGCTGGAGCGCAGACCGAGGGGGGGGGTCGGTCGGGTTGGCTCGAGGGTCACACCGCACATGCTCGCCGCAGCCCGCGTGAATAAATTAGTAATCTCTAAATGCGGTATCTCTAAAACTGAGAAGCGGCGTCCAGCACCCGGATCGATTGCCATTCGCTGTCGCTTGAGCGACTCGGAAGCCGATGAGCCCGGTGACGGCGGCGGCGATGTGTCGATCAAGCTCTCTGGCAAGTCATCGTGAGGGATGGACAGCAGGTAGCAGGTAGCAGAATGATTCCTATTGCTAAAAAAATCTCTAAGGGGAGGACAAAACGTCGTGCCGCAACCAAGGCGCAGACAGGCAGGCAGGGAAGAAGAGCCTCAGCAGGACAGCAGCTGCTCTCGCGGACTCACATGGCTGGCCGTGCGTGGCCGGGGCCGCGCCAGTGACTGAAGTCCTGCATGCAGACTCCTGCCATTGGCCACCCATTGTGTAGGCTGGCTGTTGCAGCCATTGCTAAAAGAAAAACAAAGAAAAAGAATAAAAAAAGGAGCGTGACAGCAATCGCGGCCGTCTTGATCGCGGCGCGTGAAGGATTGACCCAAAGCGCGCTTCTCCTCTTGTCAATGAGCGCCGCCGTCATCGTCCTCAGCGCGGCCGCGGCCACACAACAGTTTATCATCTCGTGCCCGATAGCTTTCGTCAACCTCTCTCTTCCTCTCGTCTCTCTTGCACACGCTGGCGGTGAGTGCACGCTGGCGATCGACAGATTGGTGAACCCTTCTCGAGTCCCAAGGCAAGAATTTGTCAAGAGCGAGCCGACTGCGGTGACCACCCCTCGCAAGACCCTTGAGGCGTCGACCATCGACGTCTTCGCCCCGCTCGATGCGTCAAGGACCAAGGCGGCGCTCAGCGGGCGAGCGGGAGGAGCGGAGCAGCACTGCCTGCTCCTCCAGAGTGAACGGGCCATCGATCAGCCGATCGGCACCTCGCTGAGGAACTCAGCGTGGCCAACGGAGGTCCGCTCCACCCGGCTCGCCGACCCCAGGATGTTCGAGTCAACCCCAAACCCAGGATGTTTGAGTCAACCCCAAACTGAAGCGGCGGTGCCCACGCCGATCGGATGGTCGAAGAGCTCGCGGACGGATGGAGACCTGGCAAGCTCCTGCACCGATGACTCGTCTCCGCGGCTCGAGAGTGGCTGCAAGGAAGGCATCTTTGATCAGGTGTCCGCCATGCGCCGCCACGCCCGCGACTCGACCCATCCCTCTGCTCCACACGTCTCCACACTGCGCTTCCCAGCATGCTTTTGGTGGTGCCAGGTGAGCGTCCACAGCGAGGACACAGCGGGCCGCTCAAAGGAGATTCACAACCGGCGCTACCGGCGTGAGAGCGCAGCGCTGCGACTTTTGCTGTTGACGATCGTGGGCTCTTGGCTACTCCTCGCTGCGTGTTGCAGCTGCGTTGTAGAGCGTCGCTCATCGAGACGCGACGTGCTCACTACGCTGCTGCTACTACTCATTGCGGCACAGTTCCCAGGCGCGTGCGCGCAGGCAATTCAAGTCGATGGCCCGTGCTCGCTCACCGACGGCGGCTCGTGCGCCACGTCGCCAAACTACCCGAACAGCTACGGCATCAACGAGGAGTGCACCATCAGCGGCGTGCCGCCGGTCGAGCTGGAGACGGTCGCCTTTGAGGTGGAGGGAGACTTATATCCCTACGCCGACTACGATGGCAACGGCGACCCCACGGATGACTGCTACTACGACTACCTCGCCGTCAACGGGAAGAAGTACTGCGGCACCTCGGGGCCGCAGGGCATGGTGCCTGGGGATGGCGTCATCGAGTGGCGATCGAGGGCGGAGCGAGCGCTGCGATCGGATGACTTTGTCAGCTCGGGCTGGAAGGCGCGCCCCCTGGGCTCTCTCGCCTCCTCTTCCTTCTCCTCTCTGACGCCTCTTCTCCCTCTGCCGTCATCAGATCTGCTGGGCGACCCGGCCGACTTCGCCGCCTTCGCCGCCTCCAACGCCGCCTTCATTGCCTCCACCGCCGGCGCCGCCTCGCTCTCCGCCGCTGCCTCCAGTCTTCCCTGGCTTCGATGTCTCCGCGGCGAGCGAGGCCGAGCTCCGCTCCGTGATCACGCAGGCGGCCACTGACGTCTCAATCTACCTGCCGCCCAGTGCGCACTTCAAGCTGTTCAGCCAGATCAGTTGCGCCTCCACCATCAAGGTGACGGTCGCGAGCAGCGGCGAAGGCGCGACGCTCGACGGCCAGGGAGAGACCGGGCTCTTTAGCCTCTTGGGCCGTTGCAGCCTCACCCTGCGGGGGCTGACCCTCGTCAACGGGGCGGGCGGGCTCGGCGGCGTTGTGAACGCGAACGGCGCAGGCGACGTCGAGATCATCGACACGACCGTGAGGGACTGCTCTGCTTCTGTGCGCCGCGTAGAGCTAGCCTCCCTGGAGCACAGGGCGAGATATACGGGCCACGGCTGACCTCACGCCGCTCTCTCCTCGCAACCGCAGTACGGCGGCGTCGTCGCCGCGTATGACATCGAGTCCCTCTCCATCGCGGGTGTCGACTTCATCGACAACAGAGCGGATATCTCAGGCTCGGTGCTGTTCCTGGCAGAACTCAAACAAGGTTCCTCGATTCGCGACGCCTCCTTCACCGGCAATACCGCTGGCGACGGCAAGACGATACAGACCGACTCGCCGATAGACTGGGAGTGCCGCTTGGGCCGCTGGATGCCGCGCCAAGGCGCCTTCGAAGGCGACTTCAGCGCCCCCGAGTGCTACCTTTGCTCCGCTGGCTACTATGGGGACACGAGCGGCCTCGACAAAGCCACCTGCGTCGGTCCATGTGACAGAGGCTACTTTTGTCCCCTGGGCACAGCGGAACCGCTCCCATGTGCACCGGGCTTCTATATGCCCGTGACGGGCGCAGCCAGTGCCGAGTCGTGCATCCCTTGCTCCCCAGGGACGAGCCAGTCCACAGCCGGCGCGGTCCGCTCCTGCGACGCGTGTCCTCCTGGCACATTCGCCGATCAGCTCAACGCCACCAGCTGCGCCGAGTGCCCCGCGGGAAGCTTCTGCCCGAAGGAAGGCACCGTCCGGCCCTTCGACTGTGCCGCAGGGGAGTACCAGAACCTCACCGGCCAGGCTGCGTGCGTGCAATGCCCTGCTGGCGAGTTCCAGGCGGAGCGCGGACAGACGTCGTGCGACTTGTGTGCCGCGGGTGGATACTGCGATGACACCGAAAATTTCGGCGGCGGCTTCACGCCCTGCCGTGCGGGGAGCTACAACGAGAACACGGGAAGCAGCTCACCCGACGCCTGTCAGCAGTGCCCCCCCGGAACCTCCAGCCCGACCGCCGGCGCAAACAGCAGCGAGACGTGCGCGAGCTGCCGTGCAGGGACGTTTGGCGACGAGCCCGGGCTGAGTGAGTGCACGGACTGCCCCACGGGGTCCTACTCGAGTCAAGGTAGCCACTCATGCGAGCAGTGCGAGGCGGGCACCTACGCGGCGAGTAAGGGCCTCTCGCAGTGCGTCCCCTGTCCGTTCCCGCGGAGCAGCGAGAGCGGCAACGCCACTTGCTCCTTCTGCAAGGAGGGCTACTACCGGGACGCGACCACCGATCCAGCCGATATCTTCCAGAACCCGACCGAGCAATGCAAGCCGTGCCCGCCGTACGCCACATGCAATGCTACCGGCACCACACTAGAGTCGCTCGGTGTACCACCCGGCTACTGGCGCGCCTCTCTCAGCACCTCGGAGCTTTACCCATGCGACTCAGAGACGTGCATCGGATCAGACCCTGGCGTCGGAGCCAGCTTGCAGCTTCCTCGCAATGCGGAAGAGGGAAGCGATCCCTATTGCACCCGGGGCCACACGGGCCCCCTTTGCGAGGGGTGCGTCGCTCCCTCAGAGTACTTTAGCCGCGCCAAGGGGCAGTGCGCCGCCTGCCCGTCGACCGGGCGTACCGTCGTGGTGGCTCTCGTCTCCGCCTGCGCGCTTGCGGTCCTCGCCGGCACCTACGCCGCGATCCGGCGCCGGTGGCTTTGGCGCCGGGCGGACGAGGCTGGCTTGCAGCCCAAGTTCAAGATCATCGTGAGCTTCTACCAGGTGAGCAGTACCCTCGGCGCCGTGTACGGCGTCCGCCTTAATGAGCGCTTTACAAGCTGGCTGAACGCATTCAGTCTGGACGTGTTCGAGCTCGCCATTCCTGGCAGCTGCCTCGGCAGCATGGCTAGTCGGTTGCTCATCGCGGGCCTTTGGCCGTATGTCGCCGTGGCCTTTGTGTCGGTCGCCATCCTGGCCCGGTCGGTGCTACTCAACCTATCCACGGGCGCCGGTCCTCGCTCGGCCTTCTGGGGGGCGTTTGACCGCAAGACCCTCGGCCTTCTCCTCTATTGGGCCATCTTCATCTTCTACCTGGTCCTGCCCTCCGTCTCGCGCTCCATCTTTGGCGCCATCTTGTGCAAGTCTTTTGGCTACGATGACGCGTTGGAGACGCGGATCAGCTTCCTGCTCACCGACACCTCGCTCAAGTGCAACGCGGGTCCCGACTGGGAGGACGGCTCGAGCGAGCTGCGCGCCTACTTCTGGTCCTTCTTTGGCCTCTGGCCTGTACTCGTACCGGTCAGCTTTTTGGCGCTTCTGCTCCGCGTCCGAGCTCCAGTAACGGCGCAGCGCGCGACCCCGTTGACTACCGCGACGAGCTTCCTCTGGCGGGACTACTCCGCCAGCTTCCTCTTCTGGGAGGTGTGCGGCGGCGCACAGTAAAAGGGAGGCTTGACATTTCTCGTGAGAGCGTCACGGGTCTGAGAATAGGTGATCGACCTGACCCGCAAGACCTTTCTCACCTCGATGGTGCTCTTCATCGATCGAGAGAACGGCTCGGTCAAGCTCCAGCGCCTCGTCGTCGCCGCCATCGTCTCGGCCATGTTTGCGACCATCTTAGCCCTCGCCCGCCCCTACCGGCGCTCAGACGACCTCTACCTGGCGTGCGTCGCCAACTTGATGCTCACCTGCTGCTTCTGCGCGGGGGTGGTCATCCAGGTGCGTGATCTCTACTCTCCCACTCTCTCTCCCGTCCACCTTCATCAGTCTCATCGCCCGTCCCCGCCCACTGCAGCTCTGCGAAAGCAACACGTACGACGACAAGATGTGCTATAAGCTCGTTGGCTTTGAGAGCTTTATCAGCGCCACGACATTTGTCATCGTCCTCACCGCCGCCATGCTCGCTGTCTCGCTGGTCGTCATTATCGTGTCGGTGGTCAGCGCCCGGAGGGCACCTACCATGCGGCTCGTCTCTTCAGGCCGTGAGCCGATGCGCGACGGCATCACCCTCGCCGGTGGCCAGCAGTGGCACCTCTTCCTTAGCCACGTCTGGAGCACGGGGCAGGTTTGCCAACCCATCGCCTCACCAGTCCTGACACCCCCTTGCCCCCCGCGCCCTCCCATCTTCAATGGGTGTGGGACTCACCCGCCCTCACCTTCCTTAGGATGCCGTCGCCGTCATCAAGAACGAGCTCCAGCAGTTCCTCCCCGGCTGTGAGATCTTTCTGGACATCGACGACCTCAAAAACATCGGAGAGCTGGAGGCGTACATTGGTCGCTCACAAGTGGTGCTCTGCTTCCTGTCGCGGGGCTACCTGCGCTCGACAAACTGCCTGCGCGAGATCCGCGCCGCGCTGGAGATGGGCAAGCCGCTGGTGCTCGTCCACGAAGCAGACCCGGACAAGGGCGGAGGCACGCTCGCCGAGCTGCGATCCGAGTGCCCCGAGGAGCTGCAGGCCGCCATCTTTGACGCCGGCTGGCCGATGGTGGTGTGGCATCGGATCGAGGACTTCCAGCACGTCTCGCTCAAGGTCATCGCCGAGGCGCTGCTGCTGAAGACGCCAAAGTACGAGGGCGAAAAGGAGCTACCCCTGTGCATCCCGGGCGAGCTCCGAGTTGACGGCCTCGCCTTCCCCAAGCCGGTGGTTCTCTGGGCCTCGACTTTGAACGACGGGGCGCGCGATCTCGCCGATGCGGTTGCGGCGGCCGTGGCTGGCAGCATCTCCGTCACCGACACAACGCCCTCGCGCCTCTCCTCGTTGCCGCGCGCGAGCGGCCGAGGCGGCGACGAGGCGACGCACATGCTCCTCTACCTGAAGAGATCGACGTGGGCCGGCGATGGCGCCGAGGCGCTCGCAGAGCAGGTGCGCGCCGCGCGCAGCGCCAGGCTGCCGATCGTCATGGCGCACGAGAACGACGCCGTGCGCGGCGGCTGCATCTTCGGCCACTTTTTTGAGGTGACGCCACGCGACCTGATCTCCGATGGGCTGTACAACGATCTCGCCGTCGGCTGCCATGCGGATCCGCACCGGCAGGTGTCGCACGCCCTCCTCGCACAGGCGCTCGGCGCGACCAAGCAGACTGCTCAGTCGCGCGTGCGCCGCGTCACCGCCCTCGCTCGAACGACGCAGCCCCGCGGCTCCTCTTCAAAGGCGGAGCAGCAGGAGCAGGAGCAGTCGGCGCGCGACCAAGTTGCGCAGGTCCAAGAGGAAGAGTCGGCGGCGCAAGCTCGCATCTTGTACTCAGAGGTCTGAGCGTAACCCAGGCGAAGTATATAGTTGGTCCAGCCGGCGCGCCACCGCGCCATAAGTCGGGTGGTCCAGTCGTGGCCTGACTGTTTGTCGCCTCTCTAACACGCACGCAGGATCGAGCCAAGGCTGGACAGGCTGGAGAGGTGATACGTGATGTGCATTACTCGAAACTCCTCTCTGGATCCTTTTGACAGTCTTGCCTCGCCGCGTTTTTCTTCTTCGGGCTTGTTGACAGGCGATTTTGCCCCGCTGCCGCCTTGCGCTCCGAGTCGCTCCAAAATGGCTCACCGCGAGTCCCAGCCCTCCAAAGACGAACTCGTGCTGATCCCAGCTATCCGCAAGGACAGCACCACTGGTTACAAGTGCGTTTGATTGAGGGGCTCACGGCATGGGCACCGACCGAGGGGGGGGTCGGTCGTCACACCTCACGCCGCCGAGAGAGCGACCGACCGGAGGGGGGGTCCGGTCCACCTCGGGGGCAGACCACCGACGACGAACCGGCTGGGGGGTCCCCACGAAGTAGGGGGGGTGGGTACAAAATGACGCTCATATGATACACATCGCGACATCCAAATATCCCACACCGTTGCGCAGGAGCTCTCGGCTTCGACGAGATCATGATTGACGAATGCGCGAAAGTAAACCTGAAGCCATTGTGTGAAGACCAACAATATTGCAAGGCGGATCCTCAATCTTATTACATGGGTCAGGACAGGGGCATTGTCAACAACATGCATCGCGCTATCAATTCCTATTTCCCAGAGGGTTGGGATAGGCCTGGACCAGCCACAACCCTCAAACAATTCTTTGAAGAAAGCAATACCTATTTCACGTACACTGCGAAAAATTGGGATGACAAGGCTATCTGCACTCCCGACGACGGTTGTAACGTAGTTCATGGATGACGATCGGCTGGCGACCCGTTAGGGTCGACAGTTGAGCTAGGGAGTGTGGCGATGGCCGCCCAAATGCGAACGCAGTTCAGGTTGGCTATGGTTACCGGCACATAATGTGTGCTCGCCAGCCGAGTGCGTAGACAGACTGGACCCAATGGGCCGACTGTCTTTTCGAAAGACACTTCTGAGCTGAGTTTGTTCTGCACGCGCTGACGGAAGGGGGGAGTCACGGACTGTATTCTTTTTGTTATGGCTACTTTTGATACAACTCTCACAAGAATAACCAGGTAATCAAGCTAGAATTTACCAGGTTGCCGGTCACCTTTTGTGTCTCAAGGGGTGCGGCTGCGCTCCAGCGACGACCGTGCGCCGCAGGGCGTCGCAGCGTGCGAAGCGATTCGGCGGAATGGGACGGCCGACGCAGTGGATGGTTGTTTGCGATTAAATTCAGCGCGCTGGACATCCTGCCCGGAGCCCGGCAGCGCAGGAGGCGAGTCCGAGTCGTGTCGGCCCGATTTGATTTCTTTTTTCAAAACAATTCCCTAGGCCTTTTTGCTCGCTGGAAATGCAGGCTGAAATGCACGTCAATGGTGTTAAAAATAGTTCCCTTGGCAAAAATCGACGCTTTTCAAAGAATCTTGATCCATATTGCACGGGACATGGCACTAGCACAGGTACACCAAAGAAGAAAACCGACACCTACGCATGAAGCAACTTGCGCTCCACAAGGGCGCAGGGTAGACTACGACGATTCTACGAACACCGCCCGCTGCCGTTCCTAGGCCGCCTCCGCGGCGCGGTAGAAGGGGCGGTCGCCGTCGATGGTGATGCGCTGCAGCTTTCGGTGCGAAGGCCAGTAGTCGTTCACCGGCCGGTGCTGCGTCAGCCGGTTGTCCCAGATGGCGACCGAGTGGGGGCGCCAGCGGAAGCGGCAGCGGAAGCGCGGCTGCTCCATGTGCTCCTGCAGGAAGCCGAGCAGCTCCGCCGACTCGCCCTCGCCGAGCCCCAAGATGCGCGTGGTGAAGAGCCCGTTGACGAAGAGGCTCTGCCGGCCGCTCTCTGGGTGGGTCCGCACGACCGGGTGCGTCACCGGCGGGTTATCGGCCAGGGCTTGCGCCAGCCGCTGGCGCCCGCCCGGCTGCGACAGGCTCTCCTTGAAGCCGTGCTCGAACGAGTGCTCCGCCTCGAGCCCCGCAAGCCGCCGCCGCAGGCTCGGCTCGAGCGCCTCGAACGCCGCCGACATCGAGAGGAACTCGGTGTCGCCGCGCCCGCCGTCGGGAATGACGATGCCGTGCAGGATCGACCCGAGTGGCGGTCGCGGTCGGAACGTCATGTCGGTGTGCCACTTTTCGATCAGCGACGGCCGCTCGCGGTCATTCTCCAGGATCGTGATCTCTGGGAAGCCCTCGACGGTGGCGTATGCGGGGTGCGTCTGCACGCCTCCAAAGAGCTGGGCGAGCGCGCGGTGCGCTGCCGGATCGAAGGACGCCTGATCGCGGAAGAAGATCACCTCGTACTGAAGGAGCGCCTCGCGGACCGCCGCAAACTCGGTGGCACCGATGTGAGAGAGGTCGGCGCCCTCAATTTCGGCTCCCAGGGCGTGGGCGACCGGCGTGACGCGCCAGCCGAGCGCGTGGGCGGACGGTGGCTTGAGCGCCGGCGTGGATAGACGGCGGCTGACACCTCGCAGCGCCCTCATCGTCGCCAGGGAGGAGGTGGCGCTCGCCAAATGCAGCGGGGGTACGGGCTGGGGGAACAAGTTTTCGTTTGCCAATGAACATGGGCGGGGGCGGGGCGCTGTAGATGATCTGAAAAGCGAGAATCTGAGATTCCAGCATCCGAGAATCTAGTTCAGGAATCTGACCCAGCCCAGATTTCCAACGTCCATCCCCCCATATCCCCCTTCCGTACCCCCCTTGTTCTCCGTTCGATATCTGCCGACGTGGCCAATGCTTCCGCGGGCTCGGCGGCCGCCGCTCTCGATTCGGCTGCCGCGGCGAGCCTTCTCCGCCAGGTCCTCCGCCGCCGCCGCCACCACTGCCACTTCAACGCCCGCTACACCACTCCGGCTGCTCATCGTTGAGGCAGATGATCGCGCGGGCCGGGAGCGCCTCACCTCTGCGGGCTGCACAACCGCGTCAGACACGTTTGCGGCGCTGCTTTCGCGCATCTGCCCCGAAGATCACGAGCTGCGCCTCTCGTACTGCCACCCGGCCGACTCGGTGCAAGAGCTCGCTGAAGTTGGCGAACTCTCGCGCTTTGACGGCGTCGTATGTGAGTGCAGCGCCCGCCCTCCGACCTCTCGCAGCGCCCGCCCCACCGCCCGCTCGCTCGCTCGCCTGAGCACGCTCGGTGGCGCAGGGACGGGGTCTTCGCTCACGATCCACGAGGACAAGCCCGAGGTGACGCGCCAGATCGAGCTCGCGCGCCGCTGCTTTCAGGCCGCCGTGCCGCAGTACGGCTCTTGCTGGGGCCTCCAGATCTCGGCGGCCGCGGCGGGCATCCCGTGTGAGCCCAACCCGCGGGGGCGCGAGCACGGCATCGCGCGCGGCATCGCCCTCACTCGGTCGGGGCGGCGCCACCCGATGTTTGACGGCTGCCTCCAGACCTTTGACGGCTGCGCCGCGCACACGGACCACGTCGCGGCCAGCTGGGCCGCGGCGCCCGTGTGCAGGCCCGGCGTCGAGGCGGAGGTGCTCGCGTCGAACGACTTCACGCCGGTGCAAGGGCTCGCCGTCCGCATCGACGGCGGCGAGTTTTGGTCGGTCCAGTACCACCCCGAGCTTGACCTCGGCGAGATTGCCCGCCTGATGCGGCTGCCGGCGTCGCGCAGCCTGCTGGTCGAGCAGGGGGAGGTGCGGCGGCACCTCCTTCTCAGCGCCCCCCCCCCCCCCCCTCCCCCCTCCCCGCCGCCGCCGCCCCTCACCGCCCCTCACCGCCACCCCTCGCCACGCCGTCTCTCACCGCCGCGCCTCTTGCCGCCGCGCGCAGTACTCGAGCGAGGAGGAGCTGCTCCGCTACTCGCGCGACCTCGAGGCGCTCGCCGCCGACCCGTCCAATCTCGAGCTGCGGCGCCGGCTCGCCGTCGGCGACGATGTCATCGACCCCGCGCGCCGCGCCCGCGAGATAGCGAACTGGCTTCAGCACCTCGTGCTGCCGCAGCGGCGGCGAGACCTCGACCACGTGCGCGGGCCGCGGGCGGAGGCACGCTACCCGCCGCCGGGCCTCGCCGGCTCGCAGCTCGTCGGCGCGGCGGGGCGGTTGGGCAAGCCGCTGGGCGCGCCGGCAGCCAGGCCGGGAGAGGTTGTGGTCGACAACCCGTACGACGGCTCCGAGGCGGCGCGAGTGCGGCTGCTCGGGGCGTCGGAGGCGGTCGCGCAGGCAGCCTTCAGAGGACCCACGCACACGCACACGTCGGCAGGAGCAGTCGGCAGCCTCAGCCTATGACCCGCAGGCGGTCGCCGCGGCGCGGGTGCAGCGCGAGTGGGCTGCGGAGACGACGGTCGCGGAGCGAGTGGAGCTGTGCGGCCGGTTCCTCGACGCGCTCGAGGCGGACGTGGATCGGGTCGCGGCCGACATCACGGCACAGATGGGCAAGCCGCTCGCGGCGAGCCGCGGCGAGGTGCGCGGGGTCCGCGAGCGCGCCGAGGCGATGATGGCGCTCGCGCCGGCGTCCCTCGCGCCGGAGCAGCTCCCCGAGAAGCCAAGCTTCACGCGGCGCATCGAGAAGGTCCCTGTCGGCGTCGTGCTCGCCATTGCGCCGTGGAACTACCCGCTGCTGACCGCCGTCAACTGCGTGGTGCCTGCGGTGCTCGCCGGCAACGCCGTGCAGCTCAAGCACTCGCCGCGCACGCCGCTGTGCGCCGACGCCTTTGAGCGCGCCTTCGCCGCCGCCGGCGCGCCGGCGGGCCTCGTGCAGGCGAGCCCGTTGGAGGGCCCTTTCTAGTCGCGCCCTCAGCCCTCTCACCGCCACAAGCCTCACCGCACCACCACAAGCCTCACCGCCCTCTCGCCACCCCTCCCCACAGGCGCTACCCTGCAGCAACGAGGCGGTGCACGCGGCCATCGAGCTGCCGCAGATTGGCCTCGTCTCTTTCACCGGCTCGGTCAAGGCGGGCCACGCGGTCCACGCCTCCGCGAGCCGCCGCTTCATCGACACGACGCTCGAGCTGGGTGGCAAGGACGGCGCGTACGTGGCTGCCGACGCGGACGTCGCCGCCGCCGCCGCGTCGCTCGTCGACGGCGCCTTTTACAACGCCGGGCAGTCGTGCTGCGCCATCGAGCGGGTCTTTGTGCACGAGACGGTACACGAGGAGTTTGTGGCGCGTGCGCTTGAGCTCGTGAGGGCGTACCGGCTCGGCGACCCGCGCGACGGCGCCACCAGCCTCGGCCCGCTCGCTCTCCCCTCCGCGCCCGCCTTTTTGCGCGGGCAGGTGCTCGACGCGACGGCCAAGGGGGCGCGGCTGTTGTGCGGCGGCGTCGAGACGGCGTGCCCCGCGACGGGGCGCGGCCGCTTCTTCGCTCCGGCGCTACTCGACGGCTGCGACCACTCGATGGCGCTGATGCGCGACGAGTCCTTTGGGCCCGTGCTCGGCGTGTGCAAGGTCGCCTCCGATGCCGAGGCGGCCGAGGCGGTGGACGACTCGCCCTTTGGCCTGACCGCCTGCATCTTCACCTCCGACGTCGAACGCGCCGAGGCCTTTGCGGCGCGCGTCGACGTGGGCACCGTCTTTATGAACCGGTGCGACTACCTCGACCCGCTGCTGCCGTGGACCGGCGCAAAGGCGTCGGGCAAGGGCGCCAGCCTCTCGGCGCACGGCTTCAAGGCCTTCACTCGGCTCAAGGGAGTCCACTTCAAGCACGACCCGCTGGCGTGAGCCCGAGGCAGAGGGTAGAACGTGTGTCATATTCTGTGCCCCCTGGCGCGTTGGCAGCGACCCGGCACGGCAGTCCCAGTCGTCTCGACTCCATGAGTCCTTCTCTCGACGAGTTTGCGCGCGCCAGCTAGAGCGGGTAGGCTTTATCGGAGACTGCCCATCTCTCGTGAGTCTCGATTTGAGAGACGGTGTAGCAACGAAAAGTGTAGAGTGAAAAAAACACTACATCGGGCCGAGCCTGATGTTGCAGTGGGGGCACGCGACGCGCGCAGCGCATGTGCGGCGCTGCGCGACCGGGTACAAAGCTGAGCCCTGGCCAGCCCTGGCCTCGACACCTCGACACCAAACCTCGACACCAACTCGACACCTCGACACCCCGTGCCAACTCGACACCCCTCGACACCCCTCGACACCCCTCGACACCATCTCGGCTGGTACCACGCTCGCCGGTCAAGGTGCCAAACTCGACACCTCGACACCCCTCGACACCGCTCGACACCGCTCGACACCGCTCGACACACCGCTCGACACCGCTCGACACCTCTGATGATCCTAACACAGCAGAGACGTACCAGGTAGACCCATTGGAGTCACAGAGTTAGAAACTCAGGGTTGCAGCAGCAATCAAACTTCGCTGGCAGTGCTTTCATCCCTCAGTTGCAGCCTCTCAAGTTCTAGCTCAGTTGCAGCTCAGTTGCGCCCCTGTTGATGTAGCAAACATGGCAGTACTCAGGTAGCCCTCAGGTGCTGCACAGCACCTTGTACAGTGGCAATGAATCCTCACACCAGTGAGCTTGTGCCATGAGTGCAGACCTGTGGTCCATTGCGCTTTGTGCACTGGCGACGCTGCACTGGCGACGCTGCAGCGGCGGCGACGCTGCTGCGATGGGGTACTGTAGCCCTAGGGTTAGGGCTAGGGTTAGGGTCAGAGAGTTCAAGCCGTTGTGCAGCTCCTAAGAGAATGGCCCGGTTTGGGCCGAAACCAAATGGAGGAATCAGCGGTCCGTCGACACGAGCTCTCGGTGAATGCTTTGGGTTCTTCGGGCTAGGGTCTGGGTTAGGGTTAGGGTTAGGGTTAGGGTTAGGGTTAGGGTTGGTTGTCGTCGCGCGCTCTCGATATCTGGCTAAGACAGAGACACAGCAGCAGAGGCGACCCAAGCAACACACCAGAGCGCGGACGGGGGCGCGAGTCGTCATCTTGGACTGTGAGGTGAGTATTTGCAACCGGGAGCTCGCCGCCGCCCCTACACCGCCGCCGCCGCCCTCCCGGTGGCAAATAAGAGGGCTCCCGCGGCGATCAACACCGCAACTCCTCCGTTGGGAAACGCAAGGCGCACCTTTTTGTTTTGAAGACCTCGATACTTAGCGCACTGCTCGGGCGAGAGCTCAAACACGTGCCGCGTCTGGTCTTCGCCGCCGGCTACGCGCACAGACACAGTACGCGGCAGCGCCGACACGTCAACCCGCGTGTACGTCAGCGACGGGTCCCGCACGCCGCACGAGGCGCATGCGTGCAGCGGCAGCGCGTGCGCCATGCGCTCGTCGCTCCACTCGCCCAGCAGCCGCCGCTTCGTCTCGTCGGAGACGTGCACGCAGCGCTGCAGCAGCGCCGCCGTCTCGTCCTCGAGCCGCTCCAGGTCCATGACGACGTTCGTCGAGGCGTGGAAGCGCGTCTCCAGGTCGATGGCCGCCTGCTCGGCCGCGGCGAGCTTGCCCTGGTCGACGCACATGCCGCACACCGCGTGCGCCGGGCAGCCGCACTGGCCGCGTTGTGGGCGCACGGTCTTGGCGACCGCCGGCGCTGCGCGCCGGTCGTGCTGCTCACGCTGCCGGCGGCGCTGGTCGCGCGCCTGCCGATCGCGCGTGTTCGCGGCGGCTGCATCTCGTGCTCGTTTCGCTCGCACCCGAGCGGCTGTCGCCAGGCGCTTCAGGTCGGCGGTGCTGCGCGCGCGGCCGTCGGCCAGGCACAGCCACATGTCCTCCTCCTCGGCAGGCTCGCACGGCTTGCCGTCGAACTGCGGCTGGCGCCCGCGACGATGCTTCGCCCAGGCCGGGCACGATGGTGCCGCGACGAGCGGCGTCGAGGCGACGGCCATCGATGGGTCCAGAAGACTTGGAGACACTTCTCGACCAAAAAATCAAAAAAATCGAGCACAATTGCGTTACATGGGCATGGCCGGGGTTTCTGCACCGAACGATCTTACTTTCGGTCTATCGAAAGTGTTGATCGATAATAGCCCAAGTCGAAGAGTGCGCCCCGCCCTCGGTATCTGGGCGGCAGGCGGGACTAGAGTGGCACGCTGGTGCGCGGATGGGGGCGCGAGCCGCCCCGTATTTGCAACCGGGAGCTCGCCGCGGCAGATAATAGCCCAAGTCGACGAGTGCGCCTCGGCCTCGGTATCTCGGTGGCAGAGGCGATCTAAGAGGCGAACCAGAGCACGACGGCTGGGTGTGTGAGCAGCCGTGTTGCACTGTGCGGCGACTATTTGTCACCAGGAGCGCGCCGCCACCCCTACACGGCCGCCGCCGCCCTCCCGAGGACAGATAATAGTCAAAGTCGACGAGTGCGCCTCGGCGTTGTTTTTTATTTTTGTCATCGAGGAAGTTCGACGTTCCCGAGACACCTCTCAAAGTCGCTTGCGTTTCAGCACCGCTCTGTCCATGCGCGTGGTGGTCAACCTGCCCGAGCCCCTCGAGCTGCAGCCGCCCGGAGAGCCACGCCACCTCTAGGGCTCTGACGTCACCTGGGCGAAGCTGCAGCGGAGCAGTGGCGCGCTCTTCTCGCTCGATATCGCAAAAACTGAACCGTGGAGCTCTGTCTGGGGCCCGCCTGCTAAAGACCCGTTGCGCGAGTGTGTGACAAGAAAAAACAATCGGCAACGGCAGTGCGCGAAAAAAGAGCCGGAGCGGACGGCGAGTGTCACTGTTTTACCTTTTAACACCTTGCTAGATGATGGCTCGCGCGGACGCGCACACAGCCTCCTAACCCACAGGCACAGCTCTCTCAGCCGTGCAAGAGCTCTCTCAGTGGGGAGCGCTGCGGACGGGTCTCGGGTGGCCAAGGGCGCCGATAATCAGCTGATCTCGCCACGACCGTCGCGCCCATGTGATCACCGATGTACCGCGAACGGCCTCAGCTGATCTCCAGTCCTTCGCGCTACTCTCGTCTCACCACTTGTCTGGCTTCCTCCGCCGCTTGCGCTTCTTGACGCCCGCCGCCTTCCGCGCCTCCTCCCGCTCGCGCCGCTCAACGCGCCGCTTCTCTCTCGCGGCCTCCTCCGCGGCCTCCTCGCCAGCAATGCGCTTCGCGGCGTCGGCCATCTCTTGGAGCGTCGCCTTGTGCTCCGCGGCCGTCTCCTTGCGAAGCAGCAAGCTAACAGAGTTGCCCTCGTCACTCGGGTCGTCGATAAGCAGCTCGACGTCCCCCTCCTGCGTCGTGAGCTGGCGCGAAGGCCCGTCCGGACCCGGCACTGCAAAGGCTACACCCGGCGGCACTAGCCGTGGCGTAAACCGAACGCCCTCCGAGAACTCTATCTCGAACAGCACCCCGCTGGTGGTGGCAACGAGCTGATGCTCGACTCTTGCCTCATCGCCGCCGTGAACGAGCTCCTCGACCAGCCCAAGCCGCTCGCATTCGGCCAGCAGAACCTCTGGATCCACGCATCGAAGCGACGCATCGCGCCCGCCCTTCTTGCAGATGAGCAGCTGGCCGGCTTCGGCTGAAATTGCCGTGTATTCCGTCATTGTACGCGTAGCTCCGCCAGGTGCCGCCACGCTTCAGCAATGGACCTGCCGTGAGCGGGTCGGGATCGTCACAATCGCCGGTCGGCCAGGAGCGCGGCTCCGGCGGTGGTGCCGCGTTGGGCATACTTCGGCTCGCGGCGCGTCCTTCAGCAGTCTTCGCGTTATAGGCGCGACGCATTCCGCTCTTGGCCGGCGACAAGAAAAAACAATTCGCGCATTCGGCATGCGTCCATGTCCCACCCATCCCTCCCTGGCGTCTTCACGTTATTTGTTAGGACGTAGCCTCCTTCTCTTCTTGGTACATGGAAAAATCTTTTTTATCGTCGCGTACCCTATGACGACGTACCCATCCGTCCGGCCCGCCGTCGGGGCGGACGATCGCCTCACCTGGTCCGCGCCGCGTCGCACGACGCAGGCGAGGTCACTGCAAACCAACGCATGCGCGTTGGTCTCATGTCAAAATTCGTTCGCAGTGTTGAGCAATGTACGCCGCAGTACCTCAACTCTGGCACAGTCCTCGAGCATGCTCAGGGCTCCACTGCCAGCCACAAGTCGGCCTCAAAGCCGACTTGCGGCGGCTCGGCAGCAGCACACGGCGCGGCTTCACTGCGCTGGAAGGGCGACTGGCGCCGACAGGTGCCGACAACCCTCCACTGTGCGTGAGGCCGTACACGGGTTGCTTGCTGTGCTGCTGACTCTGGGGAAGCTCGGAGCGGCAGCGACAGCGCTCACCGCCGGTCAGCCCGCCGCAATCGTAGCGGCTGCGCCCGCTCGATTGCGGTTTGTCGCGCCGACCTCGCCGCGAGGCGAGGTAACGGGTCCAGCATGTGCCAATCGCACATTCTGTGCGGTTCCACGTGCACTCATGGCGGCGACGACACGCGGGGGGCTGGGCGTGAGCCGCAGCTCCCCCGGGCCAACGGGGGCCTATCCCGGTCACAGCCAGCAGGGGCATACAATTCCTGTACCCAGAGTTACTTCACCGAGAGTAGCGAGATGCAATCTCGCAGAGCAGCTGCTGATGGCAGCCGGGCCACTGCTGTGGCTCTTCGGCTCTATGGCTCTCCTTGACTCCGTGGTTCGGCGACTGCCCTTCACACCGCAGCCTGCGGCCGCCATCCCAGTAGGCATCCCCGAGTCAGCCTCTGCATGGCCGCCCTCCTCTCACCACGCCTCTCACTGCGCGCTTACACTCCATCCACCAATGCCCGGTGCACACACGGTGATTCACACCCTCTCACGAAAAACCGCGCTCCTGCTGCCACGGATAGCTCGCAGGAGGCGCATCAGCGCTTTCAAACGCGCCCGCAGGCACGCCCGCAGGCGCGTCAACAATGTCCCAGTGCCCACCCACGGCTGCGAGTCGCCCAACCCCGCACGCACGGTCCCAACCACAAATGGACCCCGTCTCGCGTTCCCCACCCCCGCCGAGTGACAGCCTGCCGGATGAGGCGCCCTAGGGCTCGCACTCAGCCCAACAATCAAGCCAGTCACTCGGGGTGCCAACACTAACTCAACCGCCGAGATCGACCCTATGCAAGCGACCAGGCGCAAACAGGCGCAAACAGACCTCGGTCTGAGGCGCGCCACACCGCCTTCGGCACTCGCCCGCGCCCGCGATCCCTCGGACGCGTTCCACCCGCGCCCTCACCAACCAAATCCCTCGCCTGAAGCACGCTGAAACCGCCAACGCGGCCGATATCACGCGAGATAGTCAGAGCTGACACACAGCTCCATTCACACCTCGAGACCAGAGGCGACTACCACGCTCGACAAAGCCCCGGAACCCGTCCCCACCACCGCTTGCCTACCCTCCGCGTACGGCGACACCCCGACACGCCACCTCGGCAACACCCCAACATCGGCAGGCAAGATTCACGCCACGACGGGCAGGCAAGATTCACGCCACGACGGCGCCCCACCCACACAGACTGGACAGGCCTGCTCTCGGAGAGGGGGGCTAGGGGGCCAAATCCACGGCCACAACCCCTAGAGGCAATGGAGCTGAGAGAAGGCGCTCGGCTGCAAGGGTAGCAGAGCACCACTCCTACGCCCACGCCCCCTCAAAGACGGCAGAAACAGTCGCACGCAATTAGTACATGGCCCAGCTCGCGCCATCGCCCACACTCGAGCTTTGCAGCGCGCGGGCTCACACTCTACTATAGGCCCCCTCGACGCCCACTTCGAGTTCTACTCAGCTAAGGGCCGCACTTGACGCTGTAAGCAGCGCGCGGCGAAGCAGTTTGGCGCTTGTGGTGAAATATGGGAATCTAGCCCAAGGTCGGAGAGTCGTGTCATAGAGAGGAGAGAGTGTGTGGAGATGTTTTGTGCGGGATCAGGCCCGAGTCCCTAGTGTCGCCGGAGCAGGTAGCTCCCTTTTTCGTAAAACTGAACAGTTTTTTTTTCTTCTTGGTACATGGATAACAGTAAAATAAATCGAGCTCTTTTCTTCCTCAACGACCGCGCCGTGTACGGGGTGTCGTGGAGGGTGAGTTGAACAGGGGTTGTGCGTCAAGCCCTCCTGCTCGGCTCCAGCCGGTAGACAAGTGTTACCATCAACAGAGGAGAAGGATATGACCTCGGGGCCGATGTGACCAAGCGCTGGTAGCGTGGAGCGTGGTTTAACCTCACACCCATGGTCTCACAGTGTGCCGGCAGTCGCCGAGCAGTGTCGCTCACACAAGCCGCAGCACAAGTGACTGAGGTGGAGAACGCCATCAACAAGGAGATGGCGTCATTCACCTACCGCCCGGGCAAGACCTGTAAGTGTGTGGTCACGCGTGCCATCAGCAAGTACGGCTGGCGCAGCGCCTCTGAGTTTAGGTGCTGCCCGGTCTTCCCTGACTGTGCCTGCTGAGGCAAAACGCGCCGGTGCAGCAACGGCAAAGGGCTCGGAGAGGCGGGGCTGTGTAGCTCGTTCATCTCCAACGCCCAGGTGACCGAGATCTTCTGAGACAGGGACGGGAGAAATGCCTCTTTTCTGATGTATGCGTTCTCTCGAGTGTGTCGCCGATCGAGCGAGTTGCGCGCCACATGCGCATCCATCGAGCCTCGACCGCGTCGAGCACGACTTGAGCGTCTGTGTATTATTACGTCTTTCGGGATAATTTAATCGATCTGTTGATGTAGAATACACAACACATTCGCCCGCCCGTTGCACACCGGCGCGGGGCACCTGTAACGCTTTGTGGACTGGAGAGAGTATATATACCTCTCCTCTTCTCAGCCGGGGCCCCGCCGGAAACGCCCCTCACACGACACACACTGTGCCGTTCACATGCAGCATGCAGGTTTCTCTGGGAGCACGACTGAGTGATGCCCACACAAGCACACAACCCCCCATGAACGATGAAGTGTGCGCGCCCCGCCACCGATACGAAACGCCACCCGCCAGCCCACTGCCCCCTGATCTTGAATCCACTCGAGCGTGATTCCACGCAGCGCCGCACTGGCACATGCCCACCCATGCATACGAGCCCGGCCCCATGCCCCGCCCCTGTGGCGGCGAGCTTCCGCCGAACGCCCGGCGAAAGCATCCGACCCCGCCCGACCCGTGCGCTCCTGCCGTCGAGCCAGAAGCCCCAGAACGAGAGGTCCTCGCTAGGACGCGTCCAACAGACCCAAAAAGGGTGG